TCAACGCAGGAGTCCTTCAAGGTGCAGTCACTGCTCCTCTTTTATTCAACATTTTCATATCCGACCAACCAACAATACCCACTTCCCTTGTTGGTGATTTTGCCGATGATAAGGCAATAATAACCAACAATATCGACCCAATCACTGCCTCCCTCAACATCCAAGAACATCTCTCCCTCCTCGAACAATGGTATAAGGAATGGGGAGTAAAAATTAATGAATCTAAATCCATACATTGTACCTTCACGCTTAGGAAGAAAAAATACCCTTAATGAACAAATTCTACCTGCCATTAGCATTAGCTACCTAAGCATCACCATCGATCAACGTCTCACCTGGGCTCCACATATACGTAATAAGCTCTTAACCCTAAACGATCGTTTTCGTCTTCTCCGTTCACTTCTTACTTCTCATCATATAAAATTATCCACTAAATTATTAATATATAAACTCTACTTAAAACCAATTTGGACGTACGGAATCCAATTATGGGGCTCCGCAAAACCTACAAATGTCAACCGTATCCAGCGTTTCCAGTCGAAAATCCTCCGTGCTATAACCAAAGCACCCTTCTACGTATCAGATCATACATTACATAACGACCTAACCATCTCTCATGTCAACGATGTAGCTAAGACCTTCTACAGACGTTTTAATTTTAACCTAAAAAACCACAAAAATCCTTTAATCAAAGAACTTGCGTCTATAAATATACCCGGCAACCCACAAAAAAGGTTAAAAAGGCGGTGGTGTAGGGACCTATTAGTCTAGACCAATATAACTCTTTTTGCTCTTCTTTCTATATCTGCCTTTGCTGTTTCCACTTATCCTTCCTTATAATATTTTCTAACATTGTTTAACACTTTTTTTTTTCTCATCTTTAACTATAAAAGTGCCTTCACTGGAAGGTATCTTTAATCCGTCCTTCACGCCATAGTTATCTATTTCATCAATTTCACTTATTGTTCAAACTATGTAACAGATTGTGGAAATATAAATAAAGTAAAAAAAAAAAAAAAATTTAATTGTTTAAAACTTTGGGAATTTTTACACGGAAAAAACATATGAAACACGTAATAATATATTACCTACCTATATATGTTTATGTGTGTATTTTAAAATGTTATTTTTTAAATAATTACTTTCAAGTCAAGCAAGAAAGTTTACGTTATTAACGCATAACGACTTGAACGTATGTGTGACAACATCTGTCGCCGCATCTTAATACGTGATAAATCCTTACAAACGTAATGAATACCCACCGCCCACCAGCCGTCATCGTCGCATGCTGTGGCTTACTCGACGCACGTGAATAATCTCCACTTTTTAATGTTTCGGAATAATTTATCTCCAATATACGATAGAGCGATACGTCAACAAAGCCGTCAAAAGTACACGCAGGACTCGGCTCAATGGCGTGTTTAGGAATTTTGCTAAAGGGGGATGAAATATATTTTAATTAATAATACACCCATAAAGTCATAAATTAGTAGTTGGCACAAAGTATAATACATGTTAATACAATAAAATATAAGTAAATTCTGATTTATTTAAATTTATTTTAGAGTATAAAAATTAAAAAATAACAATACCTATTTCGATCAATTCGTTCGATTATAGATGGTTCTTCTTTGTTTAAAACCTTAAAAAAATGCTCAGAATTGAGAACTGCTGACAAATGATATTACAGTTCATATGATATCGAAGAACCTTGAAAGCATTTTATCAGTTGTTAGAAAAATAAATGATTACAAATTACAAAAAAAAAATTAAAACCTCTTTAGCTTTTTTCCAATTTGTAAATGGTTCAGTTACTAAGTTTCCTAAAGATTTATTACCAACAGCACCACTCTTAGCAAATAAAATACAGTGTTTACAGAAAACATCACTTTTGATTTCCGAATGACAAAGCTATTTAAATTCATGAAGGCACTTATGTTGGAATTTCAGTCCATGGTTTTTATTACTTTCAAGTATAGGAAAGTTATACTTTGTATCTGGAACCCATAAATTAGTAAGCACCTATAACAGAAGAACTAATACTCAATTTTTTATAAAACAATTTGCTTTTTTTATATTGAACTAGCTGACCCGACAAACGTTGTTTTGTCATATAAATTATTTCTAGAGAATATTTTGCTAGAAAAAAATAACTAATTTAATATAAGTGGGTAAGGATGTGGTATATAAGTGGAAGAGGAGGTATGGAGTGCTATGAACGTTGACAATATATAAAAAAGAAAAAACATTACACATTTATTTTTTTAATAATTAGTAAAAAACAATATCAATCCCTTAATGCAACAGAGCAGTGGCGGATATCCTTTAGTTAAGGTGTTGCTCAAGCAACACTTTTAAATAGGGGGGGGGGGGGTGATCTAAGCTTGGATATATCTATCTCTTAGATCTATGCTTGGGAGTTGTAGGGTAGTGGGTACAAACTACAAGAGGTACAACTTTGCACATCATGATCAGTTTATTGAATTCGTCATTGTTTCATTGATTATACCTACTTATACGGTAAAGTTAAGACAGTTAACTTATGTTTAATAACAGTCCATAGAAAACATTGTTTTAATATTCCATTCTGTGGTAGTGTTGTGCTAAAGTGATATTAATTGTTGTTTGTCTATTATGAACAGATAGGTAACATATAAAATGGTCATGACGATTGTCATGATAATTGCATTATCGATATTAATCTTTCAGTTTTCTGTCGGTTATTAATCCACTCATGACTCATGGTTTTTTCCAATTTACCGTGTCTACAATGTTTACATATTTGTCATTCATCGCTTATAGAGTTTCTTCTACAACGGTGCGAATTGCAAGTCAAAAAAGTAAAAACATAATTATTATTGATGTGTCATAATGTTCTGTTATTTTTAATTGTTTAAAACACAAGTGAAAACCATCAGATACTATTGATACTTTTTACTTGATTAGAATTAATTCTTTTTACGTTTACGGAGGCAAAGTTTTAAAATAAACCAAACATGTCATCACGGCCAACATTTAAAATCTGCATGTGTGGTAAAAATCTTAGTTAAATGAACAAACATAATTACGATCTTCACATTCATTCGTGTAAAAAAATGAAAATAACTACTAGTAACAGTTCAAATATTAATAAATATTTTATTGTCACTGGTCCTAATAGTTAAACATCAAAAGAAAGGAAGTTTTGTTAAATATATTTCAACTTGAAATTTTATTTTCAACCACCATATTGTACATGTTGTATTCTAGATCAAACGTCTGTATCCACAATATATAATGTGATAGATTTCCAATTTTTAGTGCCCAGTACATCAGACGGTATTATATTCATATATTTACCTATATTAAATTATTGTATATGTTATAAATGTATTTTTAACAAAACCATATATTTTAGAACAAATTGTTACAAAATGCAAGTCTCCGAATGAAACAATAAATAATGTCAATAATGTGATGGACTTTCAAGTGACAGTGCCTAGTATATCAGATGGTATTGTATTTATATATTTAAAAATGTGGAATTATTATTAACAAAACCATATATTTTAGAAAAAATTATTACAAAATGCAAGTCTCTAGGTGAAACAATAAATACTGTTAATAACGTGATGGACATTCAAGTGTCAGTGCCCAGTACCTCAGATGGTATTGTATTTATATATTTACCAAAGTGGCCGTGTGTTTCATGTTCATCAATTGATGTTTATTGTTCTAATGTGTTGCATGCTTCATGTTTGTATGATTGTTTATTTAAATAAATTGTTTATCTGGGAACTAAGTTAGGGATAGTTATTTCTTTTGTTAACACTTATATTTGATTTATAGTACTGGAGATTATGTTATTTAAAATTTAATAATAAATTATAATTTACTGTATTATGTTTGTTATTTTCCACACACAATATTTGCAATTTATGATATAGGACTCATGTCCGTTTATTTTAAATAAATAAATAATATATTTATAGTTATTTTAATAGCTTATTTTATGTTCATGATACAGAACCAAGGTTTAATATTGTCCCATGTTAACACTAATGTTGTGTATTTTGTTAATTTCTGATGTTAACTTTTTTTGTCTAGTAATTTTTATATACTCGTAATATAAAGTATGTAAGTAATAGTAGTAGTATTTTTGATTGTATGTTTGTAGTAATTGTTAAGGTTTTTTTATATTCCAGTAAAAATGTCGATTTGCATGACTTTATGTTAGTAGTGAAAGATAGATAAATTAGTAAAATTCATTAATCATTAATGACTATACAATTATTTGAGTTAAAAACATTTAATTATAGATAACTTTATATATTATAGGTACAAACATTGAAAAAGAGGAAACTGAAGAAAAATCAAGACTTTCTAATCTATCTCAAAATCTATCATTTCTAGATCTATCTCAAAAACAATTTTTTAGGGATAAGTATAATCGTAGCTTCCAAACAGCTTGGTTTTGGAAAAAACTACCGGGAAATAATTTTGTTCTAAGAGACTGGCTTAGCTATTCAATTTCAAACAACAATTTGTACTGTCATCATTGCATACTTTTTGAAAAAATTAACAAAAAGCATATACAAAAAATGGTTTTTCTGTGTGGGTTAGAGCATTACATAGTATTGTACAACATGAATGTTTTGAATCACATTTAGAAACATCATTAAAGTATAAACTATACCAAACTTTTTTGCTCATAATTCCACTGTTAGTGGTAAAACAACAGCAAGTGAAAGCATTGAACCGAGAAGTGGTAAGAAGTTTAATTGACATAACTTTTTTTTTTAGCAAAAAAATTGCATTGCATTTCGGGGTCACCGTGAAATTTTATCTTACACTGGGAATTGTGGTAATCTTTTGAATCTCATATTGCAAAATATTCTCCTCCACTTGCCACTTACATAACAAAACTTGAAACTTTAAAAAAACCTGAAGTAAATTTTACATCAAAGTTAAGACAAAATCAACTTATTCACTCTATTTCTACTTCTATTAAAAGTTTTATAATGAAAGAAATAAAAAAAGCTAAATTCTTTAGCGTGTCAATGGATTCTATCTTCGATTTGTCAAGGAAAGAACAAATTTCATTTATAATTCAATATGTAGCTGTAGATAGAAATATTAATGAACGTCTAGTTGCATTGAGAGACTCTCCTAGTACTACAGGATCAAATAAGTTCAAATTTTTGAAGCTATATGTAATGATTTAGGCCTTGATTGGTTAAATTATTTAGTTGGACAGTCCTATGGAACGAAAACATGAGAGGTGAATACAAAGGTTTACAATCTCGAATAAATGGTAAATGTCCAACAGCAACTTTTATATGGTGTTGTGCCCACAGACTTAATTTAATCGTGACAAAAGCAGTAGGTTTTAGATCTGATGCGGTTGATCTTTTTGGCAATTTGGAAGCATTATACAATTTTATTAGTGGAAGTAAAAAGAGAGTTGCATACTATGAAACTGCTCAAAAAAAATACTCAACCACAAAACAAGGTAGGCGTTTGAAGCGTGTTTTAACAACGCGATGGATGTCTCATGATTATGCATTGGAATCAGTTTTAAATACATGTGAGTCTGTCATAGGAACTCTAAAATACAGCAAACAAATTGAAGGTTGTGATGATCATGCCGCAAAACATATGGCAGGATATCTGATGGGTTATTTGCTTTCTAAAAGATTTTTAATTTCAGGATTTTGGTTAAAAAAAACTTTTTAATATTTTAGCACCTTTAAATACAATTTTACAGAATAAAGATTTAGATCTTTTAGCAGCTTTCGGTGTTATTTGTGAGACACAAAAAAATTACAAAATGCTCGAAAGAATGAATCTGATCTATTATTTAATAGCTTAATTAATGAAGTTAATAATTATATAAATGAAAACAAAACATTTGAATTTGAAGACATGAAAACAAAACGCTTTCGTCGGAAAAAAATAATTATCTGGACAAAAAGCAAGTGTTGAGCCAATATTAGATCCCATTAAGTTATTCAAAGTCAACACATTTTTGGGTTCACTAGATATTACATTAAATGCTATTAATCAGTATTTTAATAATGATGTTATTGGAATCTATAAAGATTTGTCCTTGTTTTCAAAGAGGAGAATAATTGAAATAAAAAATAATCTCAATTCATTTCCAGAAGACTTATTTGAAAAATTATGTGCTGTATATCATACATTTTTAGATCGTGATTTATTAATAAAAGAATATCTTCATTTCTGTCTAATATATGATAAGTATGAAAACTCTAAATCACTACCAAAAAATCCACATTCAGCAGCTGAACTAAGTTCTTTTTCTACCTCAGATACGGAAGATAAATTTGAAGAAAATCTTGATAAAATATTCGACTTTAATAAAAGAAAAGTATTAAATTCGTAAACATGAATAGTATGAAGACGGTATTCAAAACATTTCAGGATAGTCGGTTATCTGGTATTTTTCCAACATTAAATACCAGTCTACTTATAACATTAACTCTACCAGTAACCAGTGCATCTACAGAAAGAACATTTTCTAAATTAAAATTAGTGAAAACCAGACTTCGAACAACAATTTCACAGGCAAGACTGGAAGATCTTATCATAATTAGTTGTAAACGAGATATTGAAGTAGAACATGAAGATATTTTGAAAAATTTTGCACAACAAAGTATTGTATTAGCTAAATATTTATAATATGAAATTAAAAGTATTTAATTTGCTAATTTATATTTTACTATTACTTTAATGCTAATTGATAAATAAGATAATATCAAAATCAAATGTATTTTAATATTTTACTAAGTTTTGCTACAAACAAAAAATAAAAATAATTTGTTTTTCTTTAGGTATTTTATATTGATCTTTGATGGGAAATATTTTTGTAGTTATATGGTATTATCAAAATATATAATTTATTATATATATATATGTAATAATATATATTGATAATAATTAAATAGGTCTTCTTGTATATTTAAGGAACACTGGATTACAAATAATGAAAGTTTATGGCAATTGATGACTGGGAAAGTCCCATGATTAGTTTGGAGGGGGTCATTGTTTTTCAATACTGAGCTACACTTGAAAAATTTGATATAGCCGCCACTGCAACAGAGTGTACAATATTTTTGGTTATCCCATCTTTCGCCAATACAAACAAACTGGATGGTTCGGGAGCACGCCACGTATAATTGTGTCCGTGTGAAAAACATGATGTACCTACTCAAATCTAAACCACAGACAGACATCGTTTAGCCTTGAGACTTATTGATAGTCATTGCAAATGCCAATCTAATTGGAAATTGAAGGCGTTTAAATTGTATAGGCACATCTGTGGATAAAATAGGGATTCGTGGTATTAATATATTTTCACCTCGGAATTTGTCATTTAAAATGATGGCTTTAATAATATTTTTCATTAATGTTTTAATGACTAATCGCGTGTCGTTGTACAACCGTGATGAGTTCAAATTACGAAGCAAAATAAACCGGAGATCCAACCTTCAGTTGTAAATTATGCGGTGGCTTGCCTGGTAAACCCAATGAGTTTAAAAACTCTGTTGGATAATTTATAGCTTCAGTAGCATCGCAAACTGTATCAATAGATTTGTATGACACCAAGTCTCCTGATAACAAATGTTGTATTTTAAGATTCAATTCGTTGACGTCCACATTTTTTTGCTGCTAAATTTGCTCTTTTTGCCAGCCACTCATGATTTGTGTATTGTCTCTGTACATTGTGTACATTAAAAAAAAAAATTTAGACATTCATACTGATATGACTAATTTTATTGAAAAATATATATATTATATGATTTTGTATAAAATGTTTTCTCTTAATAAGAGTCATTCGTTGTTCTGTGTTTCTATCTGAATAGTGTACCAGTCCAGTGAAAAATAATCCAGCAAAAAAACTGTTTTCTTTTATTATATTTTCATTTTTTACCGTGTTTTTAATTTAACGATGACTAACAAGGTAAGTTTTTCAAATATTTAAAATACATATTCCCTTTTACTACGTAATATTATATCTCTATACTATAGTTTTATCTGTATTAGTACTAACAAAACCTAACCTAAACTAACTAATAAAAACAAGATTGGGATTAAGGGTGAATTAGCTGTTATTTCTACCGATAGGTTCTATGTATTATACACTGTACATTGGGGTTAATGATTTCTTAATTTGGTAAGATTAACTAACTTTTGTAGTGCCGCAATTAAGGATCTGGGGCTCTGGGTGCAAGCCATATTATGGGGGTCCCTATTTTTGATTTGAGTGTAACAATCATACCATGAAGGTTTGGAGGCCTCCTTTAACTTATACATGAGGGCTTTTGAGGTTGCAATGCACCCCCTGCACCACCGCTAAGTGCGAAACTGAAATCTTGTCTAAAACAATCGTATGACACTATGAAAGTAAAATTGGGTTAATTGAGGTCTCAGTATTTTTCAGAAAAGAGAAAACATTTCAAATTATTCTTTTGCCGATTTTATATTTTTTTTTTTTTGGGGGGGGGGGGAAATATAAGGTACCACCAATCAGCATTTATACTCATTTCTGTGAGAGAAAGGTACGGTTAGGTTAGGGGGGGTTAGGTTAGGTTAGGTTAGTAAAGATTAGTTAGTAAAGGTATGTAAAGATTTTTTAATCTCATTCCAAATTAACCAATCTTGAGGAAACGATTCACGAGTATTTTATAACTTTGTATAAAGCATAAATCTACTAAAAGACTTACCATTAATGTATTTTGGCATATGTTTTACAAAATCAACGAGTTCTGAAAATATTGGTACACAACAAACAATCATATCACAAACTGACCTTGCAATTGAAGTTGACCATATTCCAGAGTCCTTCAAATCCATAGATGTCACTAATGCCGATGAAATTAATGTTTTTGGTTCACTTTTACATAAATAAGAATTAGTGTTACTTGTAGAGGCAATATTAGTTTCATCCGTATCGAAAATTGCAATATATTCTGTATGTAGCATAGACAAATTGTCATTAATAAGCACATCAATCTTCGAAGTTGATTTTAAAAAAATTTGCTATAGAAAGACAACCTTTTACTTCTTTAACATATTTTTCTAATTTTTCTCTGCATTTTAGAACACCTGATTTATGCTTATACAATATTTAATTATTATGCATACATAGATCGAATCATCTTTGTATGCATAATAGGATTTAGGTATGTACAACCAGTGGCGTAGCCAGGATTTTTAAATGGGGGGCTAACCACTTTTTTTGGATAAGTAAGATAAGAGAGGATATGAGAATTCACCCTTAACCCCCCCACCAAGTTTCTTAAAGTAATTCAAGCATTTTAGTATAGTTTTAAAAATATTTATTAATATATAATTTATAATAATAATAATAATTTTGGTTTCAGTGTTCAGTCACTTGCTCCACTCTGACAGCTGCATTCTCTTAGGCGAAAAACCTAACCTGGCAAATTTAGTTATTATTTCACTTTCATCGAATTGCTCTTTTTTATTTATACTAGCCATAGCTAACCCATTCAGTCTGTTTTCCAACATGGTGCTTCTTAAAAAAATTTTTAAGCGATTAAGTGCTGAAAACGTTCTTTCCGGAGTGAAAGAGGTAATTGGTAATGTGGAGAATAATTGTATAAGTATTTTAATGTTAGGTCGAAGATTGTTGCGATGAGAGAGTGAATCAAAAGCAGAATTCGGTTTTGGAATAGTATTTTGACTCCATTGTTGCCTCCATATGAACAGGTCAGCTCTGATTGTAGATGAGGTATCATCATGGAGATCTTGGACATATATTTTAGCAGCTTTTATAATATTTTTATCGTCATACATATTTAAATTGGCTGAAATAAGTCCTTCAAGTGGCATAACATCAATAAGCCTTTGATTAAAATGAGCATTGATTCTATTAAATAATCAAGATACATTATACATATAAACACGGCCCATGGGGGAGGCTATAGCCCCCTTAGCCCCCCTTTGGCTACGTCACTGTGTACAACACAGTGTGTTGTACAATACTGATTAAATCTAACTAGGACACTAGGTATTAAAATCTTGTGTGGAGTCTGACTATGACCATATATACTCTATAGTCACAAAAAAAACGTACTGCATGAAAAAAAAAAAAACGCTTTATTATTAATTAAATTTAATATTACAATATTAATATGCAAATATAAATATTTTGAGACTTATGGAGTACATCTGTCTAAAAACCTTGGGTACAAACAAACTTCACGGATGTGATATCTATTCAATAACCAGCACATGAATCTTTCCAATCCTAAACCATATCCACCATGGGGGCACGATCCAAATTTTCTCTAAACATAAAATTTATTCAAGTTATATTTTAAACCTATTATTTTGTTTATTTATATATTTTTTTCTATTTAAACTTGGTAGTTATACAATTGAAGAAAACACCTGCAAAGTAACCTATGTGCAAAATTATGATTTTTGAAATAACGTTATCCAGTAGTATAAGGGATACCCTACAATAGGAATAAAACATCAGCTTGTAATTAAATTTTGTAACAGCTATTATTAATCACTTAAAACAAGAAATTCAAATGTTATGCCTGAAAAGTAACCTTAATCTTACGAAAAAAATGTTGTACTTAGGTTACTTTGCAGGTACTATCTTTAATTTATTTCAACAGTTATACAAATGATAACACTATTAAATATTGTACAGTTTTATAATAATAAGATTTAAAATATATAAGAATTATAGATTTTCAAAATTGAAAATGTATTCAGATGAACAAACTAGTCTCACTAGTCTCAAGGATGAAAATAATATTTATCTCATGACAGTTTTGGATTTGGAATTGAGAATAGAGGGATAAAATATTAAGAGATTTAAAAAAAAATTAAAGTTCAGTAAATGATTGGAAGATAAGGAAATATAAGAGAAAATAATACGAGAAAGATTACCAATAATTTCTTTTGAAAGTTTAGTACAGATAGAAGAAAAGCTATTATTATACTATATAATTTTTATTTTTATAGATTTTTAACATTTATATTTTAATAAAAATTAATAATTGCTTCGGCCCATTTTAATTAATTAATTTGAATTATATATTATTGTTATTATTATTAATAAATAACATTTTAACGTACCTGATCAGTATACCAGTAATATGGTTTTGGATCAATTCCAACACTTTTATATCCAGCCAATAATTCATCATGATCCCAAATACGCATAGAACCACCAACGATTTCACCAACACCCGGTAATAAGACATCCACCTAGTCACAATAATTATAACTTCAGTTAAGAAATTACAATATCAAAATATGTTTAATCAATATTTACAGATTCAGTAAGAGCGTTATTTTCAGGACAACGAGACATATAGAATGATTTAATTTCAGCGGGAAAACGGCACAACATAATAGGTTCATTAATCAAGTCAGTCATTTTTCGTTCAGCCATTTCAGGAATATCCTATTTATGAATAAATTAGTCAAGAAAAACATGCAAAAAATAGAAGTACAGAAATCACCTCTCCAAATTCATAAAATGTATTATCTTCTTTAGTTATATTGTTTTCACGTAAAAATTGAATTGCTGAATCATAATTCATTCTTCTAAATGGCTTTGATGGTACAATAAATTTCTAAAAAAGTACATATACATTTGTATTAAATGATGGTCAACAAAGTATAAATACTTCATATCGTAGTATATTATTATTATTATTATCGTGTATATTCTTTATTAGAAAATACTTACTGGATTCAATTGTTTCACAATATCAGCATGTGGTGATTCTAATACACGTTTTACTACATCACAAATCATGTCTTCTATTCGATCTAGTAAATCGTTAAAAGTAATAAATGAAAATTCAGCTTCTACGTGAGTATACCTAAAAATAAGAAACATGAACTATGAATTTATATGAGTTGTAACTTGTAGCCGCCATAAAAAAAAAAATTAAAAATATATTTCAAATAAGCTTCTTACTCAGATAAATGTCTTCTTGTACGACTCTGTTCAGCACGATAGCTTTGAGCCATACAAAATACATCACCGAGAGCTGGCAAACATGTTTCTAAATAAAGCTGAGAACTTTGTGTCAAATAAGCTTCTTGTCTAAACATGACATTTATTTATTTAACAATTATATTGTATTTCATGAAATTAACTACATACCCAAAGTAATCAAGTTTAAACAATGTAGACCCACCCTCCACTTGAGTCTGTACTAATGTAGGTGGCATTACTTCAACATACCCTCTGTCTAAATTATGCATACGAAATGCTTGAGTAATCACAGATCTCATGAGTAAAATTTTGGATGTCTATAAAAAACAAAAACAAAATAATTAAATACATTTTAAAACTTATTAAATATTGAAATATTACATTTTCTCCACGAATTGCAATATGCCTATTGTCCAACAACACATCTGGGTTTGCATCTTCATTCAAAATAGAATCAGCACCACCTGGTGGTGCTAGGTTGACTAATTCCCAATAATCCACTTGAAGCTCATGTCCTCCTGGTGCCTAATGTGAAAAAAAAAATTAATAACAAAAATTCTTATTGAAATTGAGCTATTCTTACAGATTTGCCTTCAGGAACTTCTTTTAAAACCCCAAAAAGAATTACAGATGATTCAGTTGACAACATTAGAGCATTATATGTTTGACATAATTTATCATTAAGAACTGTTTGTAAAAATCCAGAGCCATCTCTTAATGTTATAAACATTAAAGACTTTCCTACAGAATATATAAATATACAAATTTTATTCACTACCAAGGCTATTACTTAGGTTAACATTAGTTAGCTGGTTACAGCCAACAATATTATACAATAATTTACAAAAGTTAAGTAAAAATACAATTAAATAAAATGTTCTCTTTAAAATGGTAGAGCCTAACCTTGTCTCCTAAGTCTATGTACCCAACCATAAATTTTAACTCTTGTATTGCGATATTTGGTAGCATTTTTGATTTTAATTAAAACTGCAGCTTTGAGAGTTGGATCTTCAGATATAGTTAACTTCTTGGCATCTTCTAAATTTTTATATCTCTTGGCAGCATCTTCTTCTTCTTTTTTAGCTTTTTCAGCATTTTTATGATGTTCTCTGATCCAAAACTTCTGATTTTTCTTCAATTGAGTTTTGGGAGCTGGTTCAAATTTCTATTTGGTAAATTGTATTATTATTTAATATTAGATTTATACCAATTAAAATGTCAAATGCATATACATACTTCGCCATCAGTTTTAGAGTCTACATAAATCATGGGAAAAGGTTCTTTGCCAGCATGTTTCATTGCCTGCAATATAGTTTTGAATGGTTTTGACTCTGAACCATCTCCAGACTTATCGTTTCCATATTTTTCAGATGTGTATAGTTCACCTAAATATACAATAAATATCATACTTTTAATTAATACTATTTTATATTATGTATACAAATATTAATTATATGAACCACCTTCAGGGGTGTAATTTTGTCCACTATATTTGATTTTGACCTGCACTCTGTCCAAAAGTGGACAAAATTGACACAACCTTGGAAATTGTAATATTACAACAAAATATAAAGAAAAAAAATGTACATATCATTTTTTTTCATGTAAAATTGTTTATTATATAATTTATTTATTTACTTATTCATATTGTTGTAAGTGTAAGGTACTATATTTTTTAAGACTATTTGTGCACATTTAAGTTCCAATACGCAATTTATGCGCAAAATAACATTTTCGACATTTAAGGCCCCGCAATTTTACTTTGCCCCGAGCCCCGCAAATCATCAGGACGGCCCTGGTATGCACTAATATTATCATTATTTTACCAAACATCATTAGATTGTTATTTGATGTTTTACTAGCAGACTAACACTTAACAGTCATGTGCCAAATGTAAACAGAGCATCTATTGGGTAAATTTGATCAATTTATAATATTATTCAGTATTTTTTATCTAAGTCTTAATTATTGCAGTATATTTTTAACATTAAAATATAATATGTGAGTTTAAAACTATGTTTTATATTTTTTATTTTGTTTGTTAATAAGCCAATTTTATTCAGTTAAAAATGTTATATCTGTAGAACTTAAAAGCAAGGTAAAGAATCTTACCAAAGAAGTTAATAAAATAAAAACTAATTAAAATTATTAAATTTCTTTATTTCATTATTTATCGATGATAAAAATTATGATTTCGTCCAATAATCATATTAGTTGATTATGTCCAGGACATATTTTACCCAACTTTGTCTATCCATTTTATCCCCAAGGGCAATGCTTTATCAATCCTTATCAAGTGGTCCACTTTAGAAAAAAAATTATAATAATAGACATGAATATAAAAATTACTTATATAGTGTGTTATAACACACATATAATATGATATATTAATAAGTTATATAAATTATTTATAAACAACTATTACATGTAGATATTAGAGACAGATATGAATTAACAGAATAGTAGTATGGTCAGAGATTCCTATATTGGACAATGATCTAACTTCATTTATCCCAACACTAGGGCATTAGCAGTAGTGTAGGTAAAGGGAGGAGTTCCAAACCCCTTCATTGTCAAACCTACTCTGACTTCTACATCATGTGTCTCGTTTTTCAATTCAAAAGATCTACTGACTGAGCAAATGATAGACAAAGTTTTTAGACCGTGCGACGTATTAACCGAAAGCCAGCAAGCCAATAAAGTCCGCTGAAAGCCCAAACGGGTTGTGTTTTACTTGCCGATAACGAGTTTCTCCACGTTGACCGACATGGCATGCGCACGAGTTGCGATACGTTCTCCACGGATCGTGCAAGACACTTGGTGGTTGCACAGAATAAATGAAATCAGAATGATCACTGATAAGATTTTACACGGGGAACATAAGGGAGTTCAAAAATCATTCGGCCATTGCTTTGGAGTCCCAACAGTGTGACCACCTAACACATAGATTGATAATTTACTTAATTACAACTACTGTTGTATTGTAGCATTTAAATAGAATTATTGAAATTTAATTTTATTTTTCAATTTATCATTTAAATTCATTAAATATATGCCAGTTTGCCACTAGTAACATTGTAAAACGGAATAATTTTAATTTATTCTGTGATAGAACTATGCCAATAATAAAATCATTTAATTAATAAAATTACGAAATTGTTAAAAGTATTGCAGTATACTACTTTTTAATTAAATTTAATACTCTTTGGAATTTTCTTATGTAACACTTCAGTATAACTATTTAGAAATTAACATTGTTTAATACACAATATTCATTGAGTCAATATAATGAACTATGAAGCACGTGTACGTCAGTGTTTTCAAAAAAATTACAGAATAAATTTTATCACTTTTAGTGTGATAAGAAATTAGTACTCTAAAATTATGGTGACTGAATTTTGTTTACACTTAGAAGTGATCATTCTGATTTGATTTATTCTGTGGTATTACATTTTCCGTTTAGGTTCGCAAACCGTTATCAAGGGAGTCGAGAGTCGTGTATCTACAGTAGTATAGTTGTAAGTTGTGAGTTTAACTGAGTCAGTGAGTCACTGAGTCGCCAACTTTTGTAACACTGATTCGACTCGTCCAGTTCATTTTTAAATTAATTAATATCACTTAACGAATAAAATTAATACATTAAAATTAATAAAAATTAACGAAACCAAATCAATTCACGTAACATTTACTTTACGTAACTCTGACTGCCATCCAGTTACGCTCAACAACAAAATCCTTCCAACAGCAAATGAAGTTAAATACTTAGGGCTCACATTTGATAAGCGTCTTACGTGGGGCCCACACCTAAAATCAAAGCGTAAACAAGTTAACTCCAGACTGCACCTCCTTAGACCCCTTTTAAAATCTAAATTATCCCTAACCAGCAAATTGACAATTTATAAAGCGATAATCCGTCCGGTCTGGCTCTATGGTATTCAGCTATGGGGGTCGTCAAAACCTTCTAACACCAGAACCTTACAAGCTTTTCAATCAATATGCTTACGTCTAATAACCTCCTCCCCCTGGTACGTAACAAATAAAAATCTCCACAAGGATTTAAAACTACCTACTCTTAACGATTTGGCCAAATCTCATTATAACAAATTCCATTCTAAACTAAACACTCATTATAATCCTTTAATCCGAAAACTAGCCTCTGCTACTCACGCTCCCAGAAGACTAAAAAGGCTGTGGCCCCGAGACATGCTCAAAGCATAAATAAAAAAAAAAAAAAAAAAACAATTAAAATACCAAATAAATTAAAGTAATATCTTGTCAGGTGGCACTACTGAGGGTCTTCCTATTCCAATATTTGTAACGTTAAAAAAAACCTTGTTATCACACTTACTGATTATTGTAAAAATAGATTGTAAATATATTCTTTTAAATAAAAAAAAAAAAAAATTAATATCACTTGATGAAGATAGTTAAATTCTATGGGATGCATCGTTGGAGGGATTCGTGAAACTCTGAATAAATACATGAGTGACTGATAACATCACCTGTAATTTGATAAAAATGATTGCTTATAAAAATATATTGCTTTTTATATATTTATGAATAAATAATCAGAGTTATATCAATTGTATAATTTAATATAATATAGAAAGTTGTATGAAGAATAATTTTTTAAATAAAAAAAAATTATTATACATTATATATATTATAATTAACTAGAATACCAATATTTAAATATTTTTAACTAATTTATTTAACTTTGTTTAATAAAAATTTTTATAAAACAGATAAATAAAGAGGTATTTAAAAACTAAAAATCTTACCAGATGCTAAATAACGCAAGGTTATTGCTAAACGTTCCCCAGCAGAAATAGCATTTCTCATACATGTATTTTGTTTTGCAATAAATGGACCAACAATACTCAATAATCAAAATCAGATGATGATGTACGTAAAAATTTTTGTACATTACAGATTCAGCACTTTTTAATTCTAAATTAATTTTTCATAAAATTCGCATTTTGTTCTTTTTTAAAAAAATATTTTTGTTCACTCAGCTCGTTTATTTTTCCTTTTATTTTGTTCTTCCTCTTTTTGTTCTTCATCTAATAATAAATAAACAACAATTGCAGCTGCTGTTCTGGTTTGAACAGACATGGTACCTATTGTTCACGGACTATTTTTATTAAATATATACTTTATATATATTTTTTTAACATATAGAGAAAATTGTATAATTATTCAGTAGTCATTATTACTAGTTGTCTAGTACAACTCTAAACAGATAAAATAAAAAAATGTCAGGTGTAAACACGTTGCAGAGTTTAAGGCAGAGTACATTACCAGAGTTCTCTGGTAACGTAATTGTCAGAGAAAAAAGTAACATATATTGATGTACGTGTAAAGTGTGTGACAAATTTTAACCAGCTCTACGATCAGAGTTCTGGTAAAAAAAACTAGCGTGTGCGAAGGCCTTAAGCCTTACGCAAGCTGTATTGATATTAGCAAACTGATGTGAACCTACATCACAGATTATATAAAATAATCTTGATGTTTAAACAATATAGGAAAAGTGAAAATTAAGTATATAGTATTCGGAAATGAAATACAAAGAAAAAATACTTTTAAAGTGTTTAAAATACACTTGACAAAAAATATTTGACTAGTATTTGATATACCAAAAAAATTGGTGTATTTGATACAATAACTATGATAAAATGTATGGTACAACTAATTTCTCTTATGTGACCCTACTATATTGAGGTAGGTTTTGTTATCAATACATTTCAGAAGTGCACCATCTGGTTTTATAATCTGTGCTATTATCAACTTACTCGTATACGACAGAAGTCAACTGGTTTAAGCCACCGTTTAAGACGGTGTAGTACTGTACTGGTAGACGGCAAGTGCTGTGAAGGAATACTTTGAGGACGCGGTAGTCCGTAAAAGTTGTCGAGGAGAATCACATTGCTCGTAATGAACCTACTGTGATATGCCAATTCAGTCACCATAAACAATGATGTCGGAAAATTACAGAGTTCAGGTAGAGTATCACATTGAATACGTAACGTTGCTGTTTTTCACCGCTTTTGGGTTTTCAGCTGAAGCAAGTCAAGCAAGCCATCGAACGGTCCGCCGGCAGTGAACACCAGCTGAACGAACTGTTATCGTTACGCGACAGTCTGGTCGAACTCATCGCGCTAACCAGTGATGGTCAATCAGTTGAGCAGACCTCTCAAGATCCGTTGGACGACGAATATGCTCTATTCAAGGTGAATACTTAATGGTCTAATACTCTTGTTTTCATTAAAAATAACCAGTCAAATTAAACTTTTGCAGGCAGAAATTGAAACTACTAACAAAACATCTGACTCAAATAGTTGTGATGAAGATGAATCATCGTCTTGTGAAATTTTAAATAAAAGTTATGATGTATGTACAACCACTGGTCTTATTTAATATAGTGCATTGTAAAATGTATATTACAATGCTTTACCAAAAAAATAAAAATTTATATTTATTTTGTCTCAAGAATTTTATATTTACATAATACAAAATAAGTACATTTCTAGTATAAAAATAATGTTCTTAATTTATTAAATATATATATATATATATATATTATATCACATCACATAAAATATGTTTATTTTCTATAACATAAAATTAGTATTGTATTTTATACATTCTTTTTTTTTGTTACTAAGAGTTAATTTTATATTTTCTTCATCTCATCTGGGTCAATGAGAATACAGTTATTTTAAAAAAATTTTATTATTCAAATATTAATTTTTTCATATATTTATTTCAATAAATATACTCTCATGGTGATCATATTTTATTCTTAACAACAACAATTAGTAGAATTAGGTTTTTAAAAAAATTTAAAAGGTTTAATAATAAAGTCAAATTAAAATATATTTAAAATTGGTTCTAATTATATTAACTTAAATTATGTGGTTGCATATTAATAAATTTGTTTTTAATGTTTTAGATTAATAATGTTCCTCATGCACCAATTGAATTAAATTCAAATAGTAATAGTTCTTGTGAAATTATCGATAACCACCATGAAACTACTGGAATTGAAGTTAATTTATTTTCATTTTATTATTTATTAACCTTATAAGGTAACTGTTTAATATAATATATATTATGTTTTATTAGAACGAGTTGGCTAATTTACAAGGATCCAAGTGTCAAGCTCCATTTGAAAATGAATATGATGAAACATCAACTTATCATAATGCACTCATTATGTCTGTTAAAATTAATGATTCAACAGATCAACAATCATTAGATGACATAATGGTAAATTTTATAAAATCACTGAAAATTAATTTTATCAATGTCATATTTTGTTAGGTAACTGTATTGTATACAAACCCAATATGTAATCAAATGTTACCTTGCCAATTTTTTTTAAGTGGTGAATGTAAATATTCGGATGAACAATGTTATTTTTCACATGGAACTCAAGTTCCTCTGTCACGTCTCACAGAGTTCAAGTAAGTAAAATTTCATGACATTTATTTTCATGAAAATTTCATGAAATATATAATTTGAGTGAAAAATAAAAATTTTGTTTCATTTCAGTAAAAATGTAATGCTTTATGTTTTATTTTTTATGGAATACTTTTTGTATTATTAATTGTATTAAATAGAAATAAAAACTAATTTATATAAATTAACAATTAACACCATATTAGTTTATAGTTATTATAATTTATTGATATTGATTTAAGAGGTAAGAGACCAATAGTCCCATTATTCATCAGCTATCACATTATTTCAGAAGTTTCTCATCAAAAAAATGTATCGGTACCTAGTGAGTTTAAAAGTTAAGCACATATTTATAAAATTTATTGTGAATATTGTGAAACACACAATATTATACCAGCACCTGTAAATGTTTTAAGATGAAAATTCCAATTCAATATTGGAGTAAAATATTGAATTGTATTTATATACAAATAACAAATAATATAAATAAATAAATATATATATGTATAAAAGATAATAAACATAATGTAATTAAATATATCTAATTTAATAAAAAAATAAAAATTAGCTCATTTGACAAGTATAATAACAAATTATAAATTAGAGAAGTATAATGTTCTCATTAATATACTCAAGAAAGTATAGAAATTAAAATTTAGATGGCTGAAAACACTTCAGGAAACTTGATTAGTAACATGTAAATAAATCACAGGCGATTAGATCTATTACTTATTAGACAAATATTATCATAAAAATAACTGCTATTAATAGTACTGCGCCGGTTTTGTCGTTACTACATATATTTATAAATATAAAACATATCTGTGGTCGTTACCTATTTATAGGTAGCTGATTGACTATACCACGTTAAATGGGAAAGCCCAAGATTGTACTGAAACGATTTTAACAATATCAACTGATTAAATGACATTTGACGGTCACTATCTCAAACGTAAATAAAATATTTTTCATTATTTTTTAAAGCGTGAAATTTTCAATTATGAAATATTTCAAATTTACAACCCTAATCGTAGGTACACATAAGAGGTTGGAAGGAGGCATAGCCCCCACCAAACAACTAATGATTATATTATTTACTAGTATATAAGTACATAATAAAATACATGATAACAAATAATCTAATTCCTCCCCCGAATTTCAAACACTATACCTATGTCTATAAATTATAATTGATTTAAAATTAAAAAAAATAAATAAAAATATGTTATAGCATATAATAATTATTTTTTTTTATATTTATAGAGAACCGGAGTTTAATAATTTGAAAGTTGGAAATCTAGTATTAGCAAAATCTTTTGAAGGTGGTCTTTGGGCAAGAGCTATTATTTTGGACATTACACATGGTACATTAAATAATGAAGGATCTTGTGTTGTTAAATATGAAACTAAAGGACTTGGAGAAATAGAAGTTCCAATGCAAAATATTTTTCCTTTAAATGGAAAAGGTATTATCTTACATAAATATATTTATGTAGAGTATAATTATACATTACAATGAATTCTATTTTAGATAATGAATCAAATTATATTTCATCTGATAGTGATGATGCAAGTCAAAGTGTAGAACGTGATAAAGCAATAGTTAATAAAGTATTACTGAATACAGATCCAATACAACCACTTGGCAGTTGGGAAAAATACACCAAAGTAATTATTTTCTATTCAATTATCTTTTGCGTCTAGGCAGTACTGCAAAATTAAAATAATTTTAAAGGTTTTTAAATTATATTCAACCTTTGAAGATTGTATTCGCTTACAAAGTCATGATAAATATATCTGCCAATTTTACAATATAATAAGTAATACAAATTATTTTAAACAAATACTGAGTTCATTTAATAATAATTAATATATATATATATATATATATTTATTATGGCAAATATACAAGTAACAGCAGATTTTACTAGTTCTAATTTAAAAAATTACTAGAAAACAATCTAATTATACTTTTTATTATATAATTTCAAATTAAAATTTTTTTTTATAGGGTATTGGTTCGAAATTAATGGTTAAAATGGGATATATTATGGGTGCAGGATTAGGTAAAAATGGTGAAGGCCGAATTAACCCTGTAGAAGCCACAGTTTTACCAAAAGGTAAATCATTAGGTAAGTAGCAAAACAGTTAATCGCATTGTTTTTAATAATTGATATTAATAACTTTATTTTTTCTGTCATTAGATCATTGTATGACTTTTAAAAATACAAAACCAATTCAAGATGCTCGGAAAAAACACAGGCAACATATGAGATTAGAACGAAGTATGAAAAAATCTTATGAGAAATCATTGGAAAAGCCACCAGATGTTTTCACATTTCTCAATAACCAATTAAGTAGGTCAAACATCTAATTAAAATTAAATCAACTTATTATTTTATTCTTTTTATTTTTTAGATACTAAAAATATTAATGAAAATAAAAACGTGATTGATGAGAAAAAATTAAAAAATTCTACTAAACACGACTTGAATGTTCGAAGCTTAAAAATTGAAGAAGATATAAAGCGTCAACAAGTTACCATACAAGAATTAAATTACAAATTGAACCGGAGTACAGCTGGTTCAGTGCAATACAATATGGTTAATCAGAAACTGAGTGAAGCTAACAAACATCTCACAAACTTAATAGCTGAAGATAAGTCTATACAAAAAGAACATATCTACAGAGAAACCCACAAAAAAATGACTGCATTTTAATAAAAGAATACAAACTAGTATCTGTATTATAAAAACTAAATGAAAATAATGTCAATATGTATATAAAGAAGAGTGTACATTAAATTTAATTACAATATAAAATATATTTATAATAATAATAATTTGTGATTTTTCACAATTCATAAAATAAATAATTTATAGTTAATAAACTATGGACATAATTATTGTTATACTTTTGTTATAAAATTATGAGTTTTTAATAGAATTAACTTATTTAATTCTGTCTACTATGTCCTAAATTATTATAGTTGACAAGTTAGGCTGTAAGTTGACTACTATAAATCATATATTGATATACCATGTACATAGACTAGATATATTTAATTTGCGGAAACTTAAAAGTATAACATAATATTATCTAAGTTAAAACTTTATTATATTATGTAAAATTACATAGCGTTATGTGAAATGTTTGATGAAATGATTCATTAAAAACATTCTGCTTATTACTTTAAATTAACACATTATGGAATTTAATTATGAAGTCTATATTATAATATTTAGTTATTTATATATATTATGGTTTAAGTTCAAAACATGGCTAAAGTGCACATAATCCATACTAGTTGGATAAAGTAAACACTTAACATTTAGAATCATAATTTCGTATATTAACCGTTGATTTACAGGTGAAGTATTAGGTAGAAAAAATGTACAAAACCTGGTATTATATAATTTTATTTTCAATGACATGAAATTACTTTTATGACGTGAAAACCGTTTAAGATAATATGGAATTACCTATTACGACCATTTATTTCACAAAATAAATAATAGTTTTTTTTTTTGAGATAAATAAATCAAATTCTGTTATTTTTTTTCGGCAATTATTTACCAAAACACAAATTGTTTTTTGAAAAATTTTTTTGTTTTCACATCATAAAATTAGCACAATAAGTAATTTTATATCTTACATTTAGTGCCGTTGAAAATATAATTAGGTATATCATATCAGGTTTTGTACATTTTTTTTACTCAGTTACTTTATTCATCAATCAATGGCTAATTTACAAAATAGCCATGTCATAAGCCATTCTTGGCCAATGGTATTTTTTGTAAAGTTTTTGAGGCGACGATGAGATGAAAACGAACATACACTCTTTGCAGAACTCGTACGAGTAGAAAGAAAAATGTAATAAATAATGTATATTGTTAAATGAGCCAATTATTGAGGAATATAGAAGATGGATGGTAAATTCTACCTCAGAACTGAATACTAAAAAAATAATTTTACTCATAATATAGGTATTAAAACAGATTTATTTCTTTAACAATTATGAATTGAGTAAAAATAAAGAATAAATCCAACCAACAATACTATTCTCTACATTTGCAAATATTATAATGTTTTTAAAAATTCTATAAACATTTTTTTTGATTGAAATTCTTTACATTCTTTTAGTTTATTCAAAACATTTCGAACACATTCTGGTCTAGCTGCTTCCAGTATTCTAATACATTCTATAATTGCTAAGACATTTTCCATGTTAGGCTGCTGATTAATTTTATCTTCATTATATAAAGCTTTTACTAAAATAGTCAGCAACACATTCCAGTCCAAATTCTTCCTAGGCCATGTTTGCTTGATGAACGCTTCAATTGCCTAAAGATACATTTTACATACAACAATGTTAATTACTAGTAAAGTATTTTTGTCATTTAACTAACCTTAACGGTTGAGAATGTGGAGTTAATGTGCATGATGTACTTGACAAATAATGGTATCAAACGTTCAGTCCATCGAATACAAGAAAATCCAATAAAATCCAAAATTAGTGGTAAAATAGATGCATAACATTCAACTGATTCGTTTTTATATTCTAGTTCCATTCTTGGCAATAAAATATTCATAACATCATCAAATTTTGTCCACTAATAAATAATAAAATTATCAATTTTAAAATAAAAAGATTATGATTTAAACAATTAATATTTAATAATAGATTTTAACATTTTGTACTGAAATATAACAAAAGAACTAGAGCATACTTCATATACACTACTGATATACAAAATATATCAAAATTATTGAATATTGATCATTTTACCAACACCATTCCTTCAATAAATTTTACCTTGAATTACTTAATATCCCATTGTAAATTAATGTGAATTAATTTTTATCTAACCTAAAGGAAACTATATATAATATATTTATATTGTAAATTTTTTATATTTAAGATATTTTTTATCTCTTTTCTGATCATTAAAATAATATATTTTTAATAAAATGCAATTATTTTGGACGATATATTTCTACATTTATTTTTTAAAGAGCAAAACTTCTTTAAATTACTAAGAATACAAAAGCACTTACTTCTATGATATTTTTTTTACTTAGATGTTTCATTTGAGTCTTTGATATCAGCATTAAAAAACACTTAAGTATATAAGGGACTAATTGGTATTCTAACGAAGCTAAACCAGATTCAAATGATTTGAGCAACACAATATCATATCCACTCATGGTTAATTCAACAGCAGGCTAAAAAAAAATACATATGTTTTTGATTTAGTTACACAAAATTATGATATTGTACTATCATAAACTAAATTGTTTACTAACTGTATTATCTATGATGTGGAGAAATGCATCTAAAGCAGTAATCTTACTTGAATCACAATAATCGTCAAACATATTCAATGGTAATGGCATAACCAAGTATAAAAAAGAATTTAACTGTGGCATCTAAAGCATTAAGTAAGTTTTAAATGTTGTATTTTCACATAAAAAAGAATATATTATTCTAAATAAATTACTTTTAAATATTTCAACACCCACATATAGCATTCAACAGCAGCTGGATATTTTTTCCAATTATCATTTTTCAACTTATATTGCAGACCAACAAAAATACTTGAAACATCTATTTTTGTGAATAATTCGTTAATACTATGGCAATTCATAAGACTACATATTTTTTCTATACACAAATTCATCAATGAATAACTTTCAATATCGCTCCATGGTAAATTTGATTTACAGTGTTCTCCGCATAAATATAAGCATGAGTTCAATATATCTTCAGGCCTAATTTGTTGATCAGCATCATGGCTTAAAAGTTTACTTAACAAATTGTATAATTTATTTAAAACAAGTTTGGCAGTTTCCAAATGAGCTAATAATGCTTCATCACGCTCAGCTAAATGATTTTCATTTATTGAAACTTCTGGTACGCATCCATTTAGTATAGAATTATTAATTTCATCAAGATTTTCTGTATCAAAGTTTAAAGTCATTTTGAAATATTACCTAGAGTAATTTGAAAAAAAAAATTATTTCAAAAATAACAGGAACTTTAAATATTGTAACAATATTTTGAAGTTAATACAAATATTCACAATAATATTAAAAAGTAACATAAAATTGTTAAATTTATTGTTTTGATTGTAAACAAATGTTGCTAATACCATAAGCATCAATTGTAAATTTATAACAAATATTTATATTTTTCTTTGATACTGTTGCATAATAACCAGAATCTAGTCTCTGGAGCAAAATTCTACGATTTATGAAATCTAAGCACGAATCATCATGTTTTGACTGAAAATAACTTTGTTTAGTGAAAATAATAGGCACTTTAAAATCTTTTAAACAAATTTTTAATAAGGATATCATTTTTTCCACATATGTATCCATATGCTTTTCACCACCAGATATTGAATCCTGCCAATAATTTGCAGATACACTGTCCAAAATAACCAAGCCCACTTGATGATCTTCAGCAAGAAATAGTTTTAGTTTTTGAAAAATAACAAATAATGTAGGACTATCGTAACAATTTATCAATGTTAATTTTTTTAAACAAGACTTAACTAACTCTTCATCAGCATCTTTAATTAAACGTTTAATAACTGTTACAAGTTTGGTTATATCAAATTGTCCATCTAAATCAATATAAACAACACCAGTATCTAAGCCATTGTGATGTTGAGGGGCAATGCATTTAGCAATACATTCAGTTAAAAATAATGTTTTTCCTGTTGATGCATTTCCTATTATTTCTATGATTTCGCTAGTTAATTCATCTGATAATAAAGGTGATAAGTTTTTAATAACTGGACGTGCTACAAGTCTTTGTAATAGTTGTAATCCTGATTCAGCTTGATATTTAAATTCCATAATTACCTTATTTATACTATACTTTAATGCTACTAAGAGCCAAATTAAGTTTTAAATCGATCAATGACTTTTCGCCGTACTTTTGTAAAGTTTTTATGCAATACTAAAACATGGGTAAATAAAAATAATACATTTAATTAATATATACATCATATTAAAAGAAAATAATTTATTCAAAATCCATAAAAAATAATGAAAGTTTAAGTTATTTATTATTTATTTAATTTGTAATAAAGTACAAGTAAAATTCCACTAAATAAATTAATTCAAACTCTACTGTTGAAGTAAAATAAATTAAATTAAATCAAACCTCATCAGTTTCAAATTTGTTTTTTTTGAAATCATCCTTCACCCATTTGAAAAATTGATGTCTATCACTTTCTAATGGTATCTTCTTTATTGTTTTCAAAAATTCTTTATACAATTTTAATGATTTTTGGCGTAACATAAACTAAAATATAAAATATGAAAATTATTATTGTACTATAGATGAAGTTCAATAATTCCAAGTATACATCAAGAAACTGTAAAATATAATATAAATTATTATATTACTAAAGGAAAAATTAACTAAAATTTATAGACATAAATTTTACAATTAAATAAGTAATAATAAAAGAAAATATTTATACTTGTAATACTAAACAATATCAATAATAATAAAGATATAAGAATTAAGATGCATTATAAAATTGTACATACATGTTGCAACAGAAAATAGATTAATATAACATTTTAAAATACAAGAAAAAAATTATAATAAATAATAATAATGATTTTAAAAAATACTGTCAATTAGCATGCAAGTAATAAATATGGATAATTAGGTAAAGCAAAATAATAAAAGAGAGAAAACATAGTAATAATCAGGTCTTCTGTAGTAGTCATGTGAATTAACTACTTCACAGGAAACAAATATGTAATTTCAAGTGCTATCTTTATTTAAATCATGTATATGTGTATGATTTGTGAACAACATATGATAATAATAAACAAACCATTTCATTTCTACATTTTTTCTTAACTCTCTGATAAAAATACAAGGTTTTGAGCAATAAAAAATTAAGAAAAAATATTCATTAACATAGAGTTAAATATTTAACAATAATTTTATAACACATCTAATTATCCAGATTGATATACTTCAATCCAAATTTAGGTAATTGTAATAATGGAAATGTACATTTTTTTGTTTAAATTTAATTACAGAATAGATTAAATTTAGTCTATTTTATGATACAACCTAGCTAAACTGCTATTTAATTTATTTTAAATAAACAATTTTAATTAATGTAATACATTTGTCAAAGAAAAAGTATAATTAGAAGATTCCAGGTACAAACCAGTTATAAGCTTGAAGAGACAGAACACATAAATATAGTGGCCCCAAAACGAAAAGAAAACTTTGGTTAGTACCTCAAATAAATAAGACATGATATCAATGGCGTAGCTCACAAGTGTGATAAGTGACATTTTCGTAACTGTTCAAAGGATATTTAATTTTGAGCTGTTATAACAATTCAAAAATGTAACTAACTGTAATGAACTTTTTGTTATATTTTCCTTAACATTTAATGAATAATGAGGATTAAAAAACCTGCAATTACTTAATTTGTATTTTAAAAAAATTTAAAAAAAAAAATATATTGTACACATACACATTTGTACATGTAAAAAGTAATACTTAAACACAGCACATTTTTCTTCTAATTTTAATAAAGAACAATTACTTGAATAATGTCATAATTTCATTTGTGTATAATATGCAGAATTTTAGGATTAAATTTAATATGCACTTAACTCTTTTTTCAAAAAAATTTCACTTATCACACTTGTATGCTATGCCATCAATATGTTTTTCAAACACTAAACAATATATTTTTGAACAATAAAATATCTATATATAAATTGTTTAATAGACAATTCAATTGAAATTAGTTTTTAATCTATTCAATAAAATTGCAAAATTATTGAAGCCCCCACGTTTCACCAACCATTAATCTTACTCTTGAGTCTGGATGCATGTGATGAAGTTTTACGTTAATAATGTTATCACATATATTAGTTATAAATAGCCATGAGGGCAATTTTCGGCAAGTTACTCAAAAAATTGTAACCAGATACAAGTTACAAGTTACTCTAAAATAATGTATCTAAGTACAAGTTACGAATTACTTTAACAATTATACTCAGATAAAAGTTACAAGTTACGTATCTGGATTACATAAAATATATGTTATATTTAAAATAATTAAAATATCTTATTTATATTATTGAAATCATATACCTAATATATTATTAAATTATAAATACTAAATAAAATTAAAAATTTGTGTTTTGAAATAATTAATAATATATTAATACTTATAAAATGTGATAAAATGTTTACATTATACTTAATTTTTTATTTGATAATTATAATTTTCTCTTAAGAATACATTTTTTTTCAAAATCATTATCAGATTATTAAATTATTAATAATTATTAAATTAGGTACCCATTTATTTTGTTTGAATTGTGTACATTGGTAGATTATACAATGTGCACAAACCACAAACCAATTAGATTTTATATACAAAAAAAAAAAAAAAAAATGATGCTAGAGTAACTACCATCTTTTAATTATAAGTTACTACCAAAAAGAGTATTTAAATATAAGATACAAGTAACAAATGTAACTCAGTTATGTAATTAACATATATCAGATACACAACTTAAATTACTGCCTACCCTTGCGTGAGGGTATTGTACCAAATATGTTAAAGGTTTTTAAAAATGATATGCAACATGCAACAATTTGAAACACACAATTCTAAAACAGTCCAATATCTAAACTCACTTGTTTCAAATTTAGCGCTTTGTCGATCATAGTTCACGCGGACCAATATACAGCACCGATGGGGACGCCGGACATGAGTATTAGAAACTCGAATAGATTTAATTTTATGATTTTATGTTGAACATTTTGTAATAGTAGTGATTATAAGCAAAAGTAGTAGACGAAGATAAATTTATTGTACATGGGTAAAGAGAGAAACACCGTAAAACAAAAAACCGTTATCACAAGTCACTAAAAAATGATAACTGTCAGTACGGACTTATACTCAGTATAGGATCTATGGTATGGACACAGAAAAAAAAATATTTGTATCTCGATGATGGAATCAGAATGGTCACTGATAAGATTTTACACAGAGAACATAAGGGAGTTCAAAAATCATTAGGCCATTGCTTTGGAGTCCCAACAGTGTGACCACCTAACACAGACTAATTTACTTTTATGAAATATTCTATTAAATATATTATATATTTCAATTTATCATTTAAATTCATTAAGTATATGCCAGTTTCCCACTAGTAACATTGTAAAACCGAATAATTTTAATTTATTCTGTGATAGAACTATGTCAATAGTAAAATAATTTAATTAATAAAATTACGAAATTGTTAAAAGTATCGCAGTAAACTACTTTTTAATTAAATTTAATACTCTTTGGATTTTTCTTATGTAACACTTTAGTATAACTATTTAGAAATTAACAATGTTTAATACACAATATTTATTGAGTCAATATAATGAACTATGAAGCTCATGCACATCAATGTTTTCAAAAAAAAATTATAGAATAAATGTTATCTCTTTTAGTGTGAAAATAAATTAGTACTACAAAAATATGGTGACTGAATTTTGCTTACATTTAGAAGTGACCACTCTGATTTCATTTATTCTGTGGTACAGACGATAGCACAGTTTTAAAAGATATCTTCTAAGACCGTGGTCGATAACACCATGAAAAAGTACTTTATCTAAAGTACTTTACTTTATCTATGGAGAGCACTATAGTTTCGGAGTGATAAGAATGGGAGTGATAAGTTCAACAAAATGAAGACTCACAACTGCCCAAGCTTCAAATTTAAACTGGTAAATTTAATATCAAAAAATTTACCAGCCCTGTGTTATATATTTTATGTATTTAACGGTTAGTTCGAACCGTTTTATTTCGTAGTCCACATTCGCATCAATTGCATCCTGTTAAAAAATACAGATTTCTTATACCATTCCGTTCTATAGTTATTTGGTCAGTAATCTTACCTTCATTGACCTCACAATTGTCAGACCCTAATTATTCTTGAACAATCATTGCTCTTGATTCTTCAGCGAGGTAATTTAATATTTTAGCAGTGATATTTACTTGATATTTTATTTGTTTTATAATTCAGTGTAGAAGGATTTTCCTTACTATGACTTTATTTTAATATTTTTATAATTTTTTTTATTACTATTTTACAAAAACAATCAAGTGTTACGTGCCAACCGTTTGATCCGTTAACTCAGTTACAACGTCTCAGTCAACGCTTGTGTGGAAGTGTAGTCAGGAATAATTAAGACTTCTTTTTAAAATAATTAAATTTATTTAACTTATAAATTTTATTCTAACTACAAATTTTGTAAATATTCTAGTGATAGAAATTATCTAAGTCCTAACAATTGTAACTTATAAAATAATTTGAAATATTTCTAAGTCCAGACCATAACATACACTGACGTGAAGGTGCTCAGTGCAGCATAGACAAGACTCGTCTGATTTGCCCTTGTTTTCGGGTCCCTTTTATATGTGATATTGTATGTGTGTATGTAAAATCCCAAGTGTGTGTGTGTAAATGAACAAGATAATAAAATAAGATAATTCCTATAAATTGTGAGTGTGTGTGTGCGTCAATGATAATAAAATAAGACAACTTCCACGAATTGTGAGTGTGCATGTGCGCTAATGATAATAAAATATTGTTAATTTCCCATCAATTCCGCACATGTGTGTATTACACAATTGCTGATGCAGGGACACAGGATGTGGTCACCACATCATTCCGATAAACTATTTTATTACAATTTCCCAGAAAACGTTTATGTGAACCCTTTCACTTGTCTACGTATCTGCGACTCCAATATTCATATTCTCAATTAAACAGACAACCATGTGTTAACAGACAACACGCCCAGTTTGATGTTCATGAGAACCTCTTATAATGTGTTTTATATTATGTGACTACGCAGTACGCGACACAAGTATTATAAAATATACTTTTTAGCATATTTAAAAAAAAAACTATCTGACATGATTTTTTGAAGTTTCTTTACTAACTGAAGAAAATAAATTAAAATGGTTAAAATTAATAATTTTCCTAAATCATTTTTTTAAAAAAAAAAAAATTATATTTGCAAGGATATTCATATTAAATATTAAATTTGATTTAATTGTTTCTATGTAACTAGCAGACACCTTATTTGGTCTTATTTGTTATATAATGTTAGCTCTCTCTTTTTTAATGTATTTTGTTCATTAAGGGAAGGCTGCATTGACTGACGTCGGCCAATGCAGCTTATAACTGGCAAACGCCAGTCATTGCAAAAATTGTAAAAATTATGAAAAATTGAAAAATTATGAAAAATTGTAAAATTTATGAAAAATTGAAGAATTATG